AATCGGGGCGTTAATACTGGAAAAATCCAATACTTTTTTTATTCTTTAAAGAAAATTTTAGAGTGCAAAAAGCATCGCATAAGACATTTGACTCTATCTAAAAATAAATAATATAATCTCATGATTATTTAATATATAAATTTTATTAGATAACGTTCCTGTTACGCCATTTTCTAATACCAGCAATTAATACCAAAGTATAAGCAGCTGCGGCAAAGATGAATCTTCCGGTACTACCAACACCGTTCGATTTTTTGCTTGATTCGCCTTTCAAAGGACCCCCCCTAAAGGATGAATTCCCTCCAACGAATAAAATAGTTTGTATAAAGGTCAACCAAAAAGCGGAAGCAGAAAATCTATTGATGGATCTGTTATTATTATGATTTTCCCTTTCGTTTGATAAGGATTCCACGGATCTATCTGTTTCACTACCATCTTGAACAAAGGTTTCTCCACTAATTGAGGAATCAATTTTCCTATGAAATTGGTATAAAGAAGATGATGAGGAAGATGAAGAGATTGGTGGTGTTAACGGTCTTGTTGGTACTTTAGGTATGAACGGGGTATGTGAAAGTATTTTTGAAACGCTTTGATATGGCATTTTTGCAAGTAATTTATTCAACTTTTTTACGGATGCTGGCATATCTCTTGTTGACACTAGGAATAATATTTGTTGGATTAGTAAGTTTAAAACTTTTTTTTTTTTTTAAAAAAAAAAAAAATTTAAGCTTTATATGTTATCACTAACCTAATGCAATTACAGATTTAGGAATCCATCCTTTTGGATTAGCATCAGCAATTTGAGTTACATGGCACTTATTTGGCTGATCTTGAATCGGTTCAACGACAACACCGGCACATCCAGCTTCAATTCTCACAACACCTGGTTTTTCCGGACAAAATCTATGTTCAATACTTCTATTAACCATGACCATTCTACCATCCTCAAGCTGTGTTGTGTACCCTATAGTAACAACATCTCTTGATGATGTTGGAAAAACTGCTTTCATCTTGACGTACTTTTTAGGGAAAAAAAAAAAGGGAGTTACGTAAATAAATATAAAAAATCTATTGATTTTTCATAAAATATATAGAAACGTATACTTGATTTTTTTTTAAAAAAAAATTTTACCTGAACCCTAGTAGATTCGTCGATAACCTCAACAATTCCGGCTTCAGCGGTCATAGGATCCCACTCGGGCCTTCTTCTGACGTCGGCCAATAAATCAAAAGTAGTCTGAGGTGTATTTTCCATCGTGCTTGTGATTTTATAACAACAACTTGATATTTTATCGTTTTTATAAACTTTGATATCCGACTCTTTATCCTCATAAATTAAATCCCATAGTGAATCATTTTTTGTGTGAACGAATTCTAACATCGTATCTAGTAAATTTTCAGTTATTTCCGAGTATTTATGTTTTGAAACTAAAAGTAAAAAAGTTTAATGTTATGTAACAAAGTCATTTTAGTTTTCGTGAACTAAAAAGAAGAAAATCAAATTACCGTTTGCAAGCGAATTACTGGCCGAATGTTGTGATGAAGAAGACTGTTGATGTACATCCTTATTATAATTCACTTGTCGTTCAGGTTTTATAGATCTTGTATGATTATTATTATTGTTATTATTATAAGATTGGTTATTCAAAGAATTTCCTGAAAAATAATTAAGTATCGCCGTAGATAAACTTGGAATTCCAAGATAATGATGATATGCAAAAAAGAAAACCAATTGAAAAAATATAAAATGAAGACTATCCAATGATCTCGATAGGATATCTGAATTTTTTTTTTTTAAAAAAGGAGAATAAATATTAGTGACCATAAATAGAGAAAGTTAACATTTTGTTTCACAACTTACGTCTATTTATTTGATGCAATATCATAGGAGGAAAACCCAATATCACAACTAAAGATGCTATGCTAAAATTATTTTGTTCCGAATTCATTGTTTTGGATGCAAAAATCATAAATATAATGGACAACTATTGATTAAACAAAATTATTTGAAATCAAAAAAAAAAAAAAAAAAGGTTTGTAAAAGAAGGTTCTTCAATGTATGAACAAAAGATGATCAGATCAGTTATTTGAATTGATTTGCCAACACAAATGTTGTGGAGTGAAAATTAGTGCATCGACATCTAATCTAGTTAATCAAAAACGTTTTTTGTAGATGTAATGTATGACCAAGGCGCATGCCGTGTGTCACGTGAATAAAATAGCGTAGAAAATATTGCATTTAATCAAACATTTTTTACTTTTAAGGGATGCAGGATATATATATATATTCCAATGAAATGTTTGTGGCGCAGTGGCAAATGGACGTTAAGACAGAAGGGATTTAAACCGTTGAGACAATTTCGAACATTCTGGAATAAACCACATTTTTGTATTACTTGAGCTTACTAATTATTAATACGGTTATGTAAAGTTTAGTTTAAAATCAAATATAGTTTTAAGCAACACAGTACTACTGTCAACCTCTCATTCCCGAACAAAGGCCACATTTTTAACGACCCTCAAAGTGCAAATAAAAATCAAGGAGACATATGACGTCTCAACTGACATACAAGGAATTTTCGGAAACAACCAGACACAACCTGCGCAAAAGGCCAAGATCTGCTACGCCAGGCTCAACTGGAAATACAGGGGGTTTGTTTCCCTTCTGGAATGAATACACGCAGAAAGAATCGAAGAAGTGGTGGTTACCCGAAAGGTTTGAGTTTAATTATTTATTTGCTTTGATTTATTATTTTTTTTTTATTTTACTAACTTTTCTATTAGGACTGATTGTGCCATTTCGGATTTGAGCTTGTGGAATGATTCTTTGAGAAGAATGGGACTCAGCTCGTGGTACTCAGTACGAATGTTAGTACCGAAAGTAGTGAAGTTAAAGAACTTGCAGAAGACTTCCTTGCAATCGTCACAGTGTTTGTGGCGTGACATAATGGATTATGTTCAGCCACAAATCACAGAAGGAGAAGAGATGCTGCCCAAGAGATTTAAGAGTTCCAAGAAGGAAGTGAAGAAACTTCCAGCAGGCAAGGTACAACGGATTCGCATTTATCCCAACCAGCAGGAGCGTCTGAAACTCAGAAGATGGATGGGAACAGCACGATGGACATACAATCGATGTCTTATCACGATCCAAAAAGAAGGTGTCAATCGAAAAAAAAAGGATTTAAGGGCACGATGTCTCAATGCCATAAACTTCAATAATACCGAACTTAAATGGGTCCTTGAGACTCCCTATGATATACGAGATGAAGCTATGAATGATTTGCTTAAAGCATATTCTTCCAACTTTGCTGCAAATCGTAAAAAATTCAAGATAAAGTTCCGTTCTAAAAAGGATTCTCAACAGTCAATTGCAATACTTTCCAAACACTGGGGCAAGTCTCGTGGTGAATATTCATTTCTTCATAAAATCAAGTCATCAGAACCTCTTCCAAGTCAACTTGAATATGATAGTCGTCTTGTTATAAATCGGCTTGGTGAATATTATCTTTGTATACCCAGATCACTTGAAATACGGGCCGAAAACCAAGTTCCTATATTTCAAAAGGTTTTTATCTATTTTTTATTATTTATATTTATATCTGTCAATTATTCATATATTTATAATTTAATAGGAAGGATCAGGTGTGATTTCTCTGGATCCAGGCGTGCGTACATTTATGACAGGCTATGATCCAAGTGGAATGGCTATTGAATGGGGCAAAAATGATGTTACAGATTATGTCATGCATATGACAAATTCCAGAGCAAGCGTGATCAAATTCATGGAAAAAAAAATAAGCGAAAGCGTTATAGGTAAAATTTATTTAGTTATTAATATTTATTAATTATTTATAATCTTAATGAATTTATTGCTTTTAATTGTAGGTTACGTCGTGTTATGTTACGAATTTACAAAAAAATCCGTTGTCTTGTGAATGATTGTCATTACAAACTGGCTAAATGGCTGTGTGAAAATTATCGTATGATATTACTACCTGAATTTCGCACTCAAGGAATGGTCCGACGTGGGCAACGACGTATTGGCTCCAAGACTTCTCGAGCCATGTGTACATGGTCTCATTATCGCTTTCGACAGCATTTGATCCATAAGTCACGTGAATATTCATGGTGCCAAGTCGTAATGTGTACAGAAGAATACACAAGCAAAACTTGCGGATTCTGTGGCTATATTCATAAAAAACTAGGTGGATCTAAGGAATTTTGCTGCCCCCGATGTAAAATAAATCTTGATAGAGACATAAATGGTGCTCGTAATATTCTCTTAAAATATCTTACCCTTAAAAAAAAGGAAAAGGAGTCAGCTTAGGCTGACGTGGGAGCCTATTCCCTTACAGGACTTGTTATTGCCGATTTAAACTTTGCTTAATGTGGGGTTTTGTTAGTAATGATAGGTTTTAATATAGGCGTAACTGGAGCTTTACGCACAAGAAACCTTCAAAAATACATTCTTAAATTGTATTCAAGTTCGTCAACTCTTGCTATCTTTTAGCGCCTTTTACATTGCTTGGAGGTTAATACCTCTTAATCCTTTTGTTGACCCTAGAAAATTAAATGTTCTATAATTGAGATTTGTGCCAAGGAAATAAAATAATTGATAAAAGAAACATGATGTTGGATTTGATATCAGTAAAGGTGCTGCTCACAGTATTATGTCGGACTACACATGTGAGGATGTTTCCAATGTTTTTTAGAAAATGTTAACAAAAAATAATTTTCAATGAATTAATTCATAATCGCATATGCTTTCTTTGTTTTCGAAATTTTCACGTTTAATCTGTCTGGTTTAACGTTATAAGAAATAAGTACCACCTTAATTTCTTTAGATATTAAAAAGAATATAGATTGAATTAAATAGATAATTCAATATCTAAAGTCTAAAAATTTCGGAGTGACGCAGCTAACAATTCGCTTGTAGAAACATCGCAAAAAATAATATAAATTTCAATACTTATTCAATTTTTTTTTTTTTTTTAATAAAAATGCGCTGTGGATTCATCGCGCACATAGTTAAAGCCCGCGTGCGAGAAATTTATACATTATGTAAAATCGACCAAGGTTATGTTGTTCCTGAAAGATACTGTTTTGAAGTTACGTGTGGCAATCCATTATCAAAGATTTATTACAATGATTTATTTATATGATCTTATAGGCAAATCAGTTTGTGTAAAATTGATTATAACTTAGATAGCAATACGGAGGGAAGAAAATGCCATTTTTGCTATATAAAAGCTTTAGGGGACTGGCATACTTTTTTCATGCTTTATTCCTCCCTTAAACGTCCATTATTCTGATATTTTTTACTTTTACTTAATCTCTACGAAAAAATTTCGCACATCACATTGAGCTTTATCTTTCTTACAAATAAATGATGATCAGTTTATTGTTTGTAATAATTTCGTCACATAGATCAGAATTAAATCAAAGTGCAAAGTATATATACCATAATGTTTTGCAAAAAAAAAAAAATTCCTATAATATTTTAAAATGCAACTATCAACGTAATCTTTCTTTATATCATTTTTAGTGGTTCAGCCATTGCCTTTGCAAGACGTTTAAGTTCTTCATTAGAGGTCAGCTCATCTGTTTCTTCAATGATGACACATCCTTATGGTATAGGTAATTTGCACATTTCATTTCATGCAATACGATACACGATCATCTAAAATAAACAACCATTCCATAATAAACTACAAGCAGTGTGGGTGAATATTGGTGATACCAGTCGCGCTATTTAAATTATGATTTAAAAATTATTTAATAAAAAATTAATTATCAAGTAAGTGTTTGCCTCTGAAATTAATTTTATTATATCAATTGATGCAAATCACTAAATGCTAATTAATTAAACCAACTATAACAAGCTTGGTAAATTTGGCATTGCTTCATTATTTTCCCCATTTTTAATGACATTGTTCGAGACTTGATAGGAAATCCGTACTCCACTGACATAAAATAATCCAAGCATTCATCTCCGCGTAATTCCCGAACTCACAATTTTTTTCTAGAGTTGGAATCACATTTCCATCTTGATCCCGAGAAAGAAGGTATTGGTCGTTCTTGTCGGACTGCAATCAATCGTCTCTTTTGATTCCCGTTGCAAACTGTAATTAATGCACAAAATGCAACGTTGATAATCTTTTCCTGATTGTCCCCTATTATAATTGTTACCATACTATATGGATATGGATATAGTTATAATCCCATCCTATTTCAAATCTCATTCCTTAAACTAAAAATTTTACAAACAAAAAAATGGCCTATTAGCTTCGTTTTGATGAGTTGATAAATATGATTATAATTTATTTTTGTGAGTGGATATTGATCAAAAATCTAATTATATATATATTTTTTTTTTACGTGCACAAACTTTATTAAGAGTAAAGTAAAATTATACATAATTACAAATTATGTGGGGTATGGGATATGGGATTTTAAATATAGTATGGGATTTGGGATAGGATGGTATTCAATCAGCTCCAAAGATTGTGCTTCATTTTAGTTATCCATTGACAAATTTGATAGAGATGCCGAAAAGGAATTTCAGATAAGTGAATTTATTGTCCTTTTCTTCTTGAGACTTTTAATTGGAGGAAAAAGGTTGGTCTTTTTCTTGGTATTTTCTTCGAGAGGGAAAGTTGATTGCGTAAAGATAACAGAGGGGAAGTTATGTTGATTTTGATTCCATTCATTTTCATAATTATTGGTTGTGGACAATTGGTAATGTTGAAGAATCGACCGTTTCCCCTGATGGCAAACATCAACATCATATCATTCATTCCATGCATAAAATCAAACAAAACATTTTAGACATACTGTAAGCTTCTTTTCCTTTTGCTCTTTTTCGCCACTTTTCGATGCAATACCAGATCTAGGGTGAAAAATACTTAAAGAAATTTCTTTTTCTTGTTTTCGTAACAAAAAACTAAAATTACCTTGTTTAGCACTCGTTTCATCATCAAGGTTATCGAAGAGTTATTATTTTGTTATCCATTCACATATTAGTAAATAATAAATGATATTTGCAAAAGAAGATGTTTTGGCAATTTGGACAGCAGCTAGGCGTTGTGACGAAATAATAAGCAGCCTAAAAAAATAGAATTTAAAATTTTGTTGCAGCCAAAATTACACGTGTGTAGCTAATATATAGTAGACGTAAACTAGGGAACGGTACCATTCTAGTCCGAAGCATAATTTCAGATAACAGGACTTATAATAAAAATCATAATTGAACGATAATAAATCATTCAAGAAGCACGATAAGTGAATCATCATCCTAATTGAACAATAAAAAGAATTTATGTTCAAGTTTTTATTGTGAATTGTACGATTTTTTTTAGTGTTCAAATTTTGTGAAACACGCGTGTCATGAATCAGCAACGCAGAACTCTATTGGGTGATCAATATGCAGGACGACATTGCATTTGATATGCCTAGTATTTGATTGTCCTCCGAACAATAATTATTATACTCTTTGTAATTTCTTTTTTTTAAACTTATAGCAATGTCCGAAAATAAAGGTAAGGGTAAAAGAACAAAACCGTTTGAAAATAAATTTGCCCAGAAGAAAAAAAAAAAAGAATCTGATGTAGAAGAAATTGGTAAGTATTGAACTTTAGCGTATCTAAAATGAGTTTATAAATTTATTTGAAATAAAGACGAGAATCTTAAAAGGTCAATTTGTCAAAATTTTAGAGCCAGTTTTGGATTCCAGGGAAACTTCCACGTTATATAATTTAGATGGTAATAATTTAGTATTATTATTCAGTTTTTCGAACGATAATGAAGCGTCAAAAGATTTTTTGAAAAATTTATATTCGTTATAATTTAATTTAACCAATTTTATTTATTGCTAGAATGTAATTTATTTTCAATAATATATTTTTTATAAATAATTATATTTTTGATAAACAACTAAATTTTTTCTTTAAAAAAATATTAAATAATAATACAATAGATGGTAAATTATTTAATAGATTATTAGTATTTAATTATACTTTTTACTGTAATTAAACTCAATGAATTTTTTTATTTAAAAATATATTTAATAATTTATATCGTAAGTTATTTTTATTAATTATCAGTATTAATTATACTTGATATTTTAATTTAAAGTCAACTAAATTTTTTATTTAAAAAAAATAAATTTTATTAGTGAGTAAGTTATTTTTATTGATTATCAGTATTTAATTACACTTGTTACTGTAATTTAAAGTCAACTAACTTTTTTATTTAAATTTTATTAGTTCGTAAGTTATTTTTATTGATTATTAGTATTTAATTAGACTTGTTACTGTAACTAAAATCAACTAAAATATTTTATTTAAAAAAATAAATTTTATTAGAGTGTAAGTTATTTTTATTGATTATTAGTATTTAATTATATATATTATTATAATTTAATATTAATTAAATTTTAATTTAAATAAAATTTTATTAGTTGGTAAGTTATTTTTATTGATTATCAGTATTTAATTATACTTGTTACTGTAATTTAAAATCAACTAAAATTTTTTATTTTAAAAAATAAATTTTATTAGCTGGTAAGTTATTTTTATTTATTATCAGTATTTAATTATACTTGTTATTTTAATTTGAAGTCAACTGAATATTTTTTTTAAAAAATAATTATTTAATTAATGATTTAGATTGTAAGTTATTTTTATTGATTATTAATATTTAATTATACTTGTTACTGTAATTTAAAGTAACTAAATATTTTTTAAAAAAAAAAATTATTAGTTAATGATTTAAATAGTAAGTTAATATTGATTATCAGTATTTTATTTTGCTTGTTATTTTAATTAAATTTTTATTTTAAAAAATAAATTTTATTAGATTGTAAGTTGATTTATTAATTATCAATATTTAATTACATTTATTATTTTTAATTTAAAATCAATTAAATTTTTTATTTAAAAAAATAAATTTTATTAGTTGGTAAATTATTTTATTGATTATTAGTATTTAATTATACTTGTTACTGTAATTTAAAGTTAACTAAATTTTTTATTTAAAAAATTAATTTTATTAGGGTGTAAGTTATTTTTATTGATTATTAGTATTTAATTTTGCTTATTATTTTAATTTGAAGTCAATTAAATTTTTATTTTAAAAAATAAATTTTATTAGTTCGTAAGTTGATTTATTAATTATTAATAATTAATTATATATATTATTGTAATTTAATGTTAATTAAATTTTTTATTTAAAAAAATATTTATTAGATCGTAAGTAATTTTTATTGATTATTAGTATTTAATTATGCTTATTACTGTAATTTAAAGTCAATGAAATTTTTTATTTAAAAAAATTTTATTAGATTGTAAGTAATTTTTATTAATTATCAGTATTTAATTATGCTTGTTACTGTAATTTAAAGTCAATTAAATTTTTTATTTAAAAAATAAATTTTATTAGCAAGTAAGTTATTTTTATTGATTGTTAGTATTTAATTATACTTGTTACTGTAATTTAAAGTCAACTAAATTTTTTATATATAAAAATAAATTTTATTAGTTAGTAAGTTATTTTTATTGATTATTAATATTTAATTATACTTATTATTATAATTTAAAATCAACTAAATTTTTTATTCAAAAAATAAATTTTATTAGATTGTAAGTTATTTTTATTAATTATTAATATATAATATACTTATTATTGTAATTTAAAATCAACTAAATTTTTATTTAAAAAAATAATAATTAATAATTTAGATTGTAAATTATTATTAGTGATTATTAGTATTTAATTATACTTGTTATTCTAATTTAAAATCAACTAAATTTTTATTTTAAAAATAAATTTTATTAGCAAGTAAGTTATTTTATTGATTATCTATATATAATTATATATATTACAATTTATAAATCAATTAAATTTTTTATTTAAAAAAATATTTAATAATATAATAGATAGTAAGTTATTTTTATTATCTATTATATATTTTTTATAATTTATATTTTATTTTAAAAAATAAATTTATAGTTGGTAAATTGTTTTTATTAATTTTTATTGTTATTTAACTAAATATATTATTTAAAAATATTTAATATTTTAGATTGTAAGTTTTATTTATTATTATTAGTAATTATTTTATAATTTATATTTAACTAATTTTTTTTAATTATTATTTTTAATTATTTAATTATTGTTTTTATATTTAACAATTTAATAAATTATTAATATAAAATGTAAGTATTTAAATTTAAATTTTAATATTATATATTTATACTTATTTAATTTAAGTTTAATTAATTTTTATTTAAATATTTAGTTTATTTTTTAATAAATCTGAAATTACATTTAAAATAGATGAGAATAATCAAAGTAAATCGATTATTCAAGAAACTGAAATTGAAAAATTTGAAAAATTAGCTATGCAAAATGATAGCAAGGCACAAAGTAAATTAGCATACATTTATGAACAAGGTATAGAAATACAAATGGATTTAAAAAAGGCTTTTTATTGGTATAACAAAGCAGCAAAAAATAATGATAAATGTGCACAATATAATTTGGGTTTGTATTATTTATATGGATGGAGTATTGAAAAAGATGATGTTAAAGCATTTGAATGGTTCAAAAAATCTGCTGAACAAGAACAAAGTGATGCTCAAAATTATTTAGGATATTTTTATGAAAATGGTATAGGTATACAAAAAAATATAAAAGAAGCTTATTACTGGTATGAAAAAGCATCAGCAAATGAAAATAAACTTGCACAATATAATTTAGAATTATACTATCAAAAAGATATGTCTAAAGGCTTTAAATTATGTGAAAATTTAGCTAAAAAAGATAATAGTTATGAACAAAATAAATTAGGATATTTTTATGAAAATGGTATAGGAATATCAAAGAATTTAAAGATGGCTTTTTATTGGTATCAAAAAGCAGCGAAAAATAATAATAAGTTTGCGTAATATAGTTTAGGATTATATTATCAAAATGGATGGGAGGTTGAGAAAAATGAAGTAAAAGCTTTTGAATGGTATAAAAAATCAGCTAATCAAAATAATGGTGATGCACAAAATTATTTAGGATTTTTTTATAAACATGGTATAGGAATACAGAAAGATTTAAAAGAATCTTTTTATTAGTATCAAAAATCTGCAAATAATGGTAATGAAGTTGCACAATATAATTTGAGTAATTGTTATCGAAACGGATAGGGAGTTGAAAAAAATGAAACTAAAGCATTAGAATGGTATAAAAAATTAGCTGGACCAAATAACAAATTTTTTATTGGAAATGATGAATTAATAGGTAATTTTATATATTAGGTTATTAATATGTTATAATGTTAATTACTAAAATATTCATTTCAAATATACTATTATATAAAAGCCATAGAGAGAACAAATGATGAAATAGCTGAAAACCCGATTGTAGCTGATATTAGTAATCCTTTTAATTGTATTCAGTTTAATAAGCCTTCTGTTAATGTTAGTAATAGTGATAAATCAAATATTTGGAATAATACAAATGAAGAAGTCATTTTAGAATTTATTTCATTAAAGGCAACTATATCACCTGGTATTTCTGCAAATTCATATATTGAAGTTGAGAAATTGCAAAAATTACTTATTAGCCGAAAAGATGATATTGACTATATATTAAAATTACAGCCTGTGTATGCCATAGGAATTGATTTTCAACAAAATTCTACTAGCCCATGTATTGCCTGTTGGGTTGCTAAACCTCTTGACATTCCGATTCTAGAATGTCTTGAAACCATATTTGAAGATCAATTTGAAGTTATATACCGAATAGTAAAACCTGTAGATATTAATAATGAATTATTAAATAATAATGATTACAATACTAGTAATACTAGTGATAACAAAACAACAAATTATCCCTTTTTAAATGATAAAGAAAACTTAAAAAAGAGGCAAGTAAGTGGTACTAATGACGATAATAGTAATAATGGTAACGATAATGGTAACGATGGTAATAATAATGGTAATGATGACCACAGTGGTAATAATAGTGGAGATAGTGGAAATGGTGATAATAATCATAATAGTAATGGTAATATTAATAATGGTAACGGAAATAGCAATGGTGGGAGTGGTGATGATGGTGATGGTGATGGTGATGGTGATGATGGTAATAGTGATATCAATAATAAGATTTATGTCTATTCTAAGGTGAATGCTAAAGTTATGAATCTAGATATCTTTCAAGATTTTTATATTTCTGCTTGTCTTTGGGCAAAAACCACTCCTGGAAAAGAAGTCAGAATTCTAGATTATGATATTAATGTAAATGGTTGTGGAGTTGGAGATATGCTTAGTAATAGTTGGTCATCACTTAAAAATTTAGGTATTGGTTATTTTCTTCATTCTACTGAAGTTCAAGTTTCTCCAACGCCTGATATTATGGATAATTTATTTTGGTTAAAGTTTTCACAACCAACTCAATCAAATCGAAAAGTTGAATTTTCAACAGATAGTGAAAAAATCATAAATGGCACATTTGGAACATCAAACAGTATTACAGGTGGTAAAAGAAAGGTTTATAATACTAAATTCTCATCAAATGAATGGAAATTATCTTATAAAGGTCCGTTTGGTAAAGGGGAACGTTGGTTATATAAATACATTGATAATGACCTAGATAAAGATGGCAGCAATAGAGAAAATTTTGCCCCAGGAGCCCATTCTGGTCAGTGGTTTATTAAGAAAGAGATGCAAGGATTTTGTATCACGATTACTCAAATATTACGCTGTGAGGTTACCCATGGTTTGCGCAGATTTATTCCACAAACAAAACCAAAGTTATTGCAACTTTGCCCGATGATGTGCCATAGTCTTAAATTAACTTTTAATGATCTTAACGACATTAGTGCAAAATTAACAAATCTCAATCAATTTTGTTATGATGAAAACATGGATATTACTGTTGGAAGCAATGAAGCAATAAATATCAACAAAACTAAAAACCAAATAATTCAGGATTTAAAAGGTGAAATCAATTGTTCAATTACGCAAAAAGAATAATTATCTTTTAAAAAATCTTATGGTTCTGATATTTAATTTAAGATTTGAATTAAATTAATTCATTAGATAAATTCTTTGTTATTGTTTTTTATATATATATATTGTTCAAACACTGATTATAGAGTATATTTAAATTTTATTTGCATAAATAAATCGGTTTGTAATTGAACAATTTTGACCTGATATAATTTAAATTTTCTAAATCTCGTGTTTAAAATATCTTTATTATTGAAATATTTTTAAAAAAGAAATTTTGTTAGATAACAAAGAAGTCAAGCGTGGAAGGTTGAGTATTTGAATAATCGGTATTGATTATCCATATACCCATTAATTTTTTTTTACATAAAAATGCATTGGTAATTTTGATATTTTGCAATATTATTTGTAAAGCAACAAAATATTTTGATGAAAGATATTTCGTGCGTGTAATAACATAAATAAATTTTTTTTATGCGCAAAACTTGATTAGCCGATAAAAACTTTTCTTACCTTCAGACAAAATTAAGATTAGTTCTGATCAAACTATCCAACGCGAGCTAAATTTAATGAGGATTTTTAGGAGTATTCCAATATAATGAATTTCAAACCAAGTTATTGCCAAACATTTTATAGTGAAAATTCTCTAAAAGAAAATGTCCTCTGTGAGAAATCTTTTCAAAAATTTATTTTCATCAAAAGCTTAAGTTTAACCTAACATATTAATTCAAACCATGCTCATTTTTGCGTTCAAAATTGACCTACCAATATCCGTGATCATTAGCATCCCTAGTTGCGGGGCATAAATCTAATCCCATTTTGTCAACAGTTAAACTTTACGAAAATAATCTTGACTGTTCTACAGGTTTTGAGGGATTTAATTGATTTCGACGGATTTCGATGCTTTCGGCAGCGGCATGTTTTGTAAGAAATATTTCATCAAAAGAAAATTTTTTTTTTTAAATAAAAAAAAAATTATCTAAAAACGCTTCAGAATATTTTTTGGATTTTTTATATTTTTTTGAAATGACCATTGGAGATGATGTTAATAACGAGTTAACACAATTGGAAATTAAATCCTTTTGGACCAATTGTGAATTATAAGGTCAAACAATGATAACTTTCTAAGTCACGTTTCAAAAGAAACAATCACCCGAGAATTTGAAATGTGATATGCGATTACATTAACAAGGTTTACTACTAAGATGATTTTAAAATTATGAAGATTAAGGAATTAAAATTTGTATATTATAATAGTGTAAAAAATTTGACGTTTTGTTTCCAAGCGAATAAAATATGAAATTTAAATTTATCTTTGTTCTCCTCTCAATTAATAACAATACCAAATTTGAAAATGATCTAAAACTTTTGGCTTGGCAGCCGTTGGCTACGTGATCTGCAGCCGGCTTTCCTAACAAACCTTTCCTTCCGAACCCTAATGCTACGCCCTAACCCTAATACCACGTCCTAACCCTAATGCTAAATATTGCGTAGCCGGACATATAGCACTTGCTTAACCCTAAATATAATATATTTAATTAATTAAAACGAAAATTTTAAGTTTTTTTAATAAGCATATATTTATTTTATAAAAATTTTATAATTTTTACAAATAATGAGTACTAACTGTAGACCACTTCATGTTAAAGGCATAGTTCTGCACTTATCTAGTAATGTAAAAATTAAATCACCAAATAACTTATAAATTGTTTTGAAAATTATGTACAAAGAAGAAAACTAAATAAAAAAATCAAGATATAATATTAAAACTTTTTTTAAAATAAATAAAAAGGAAATCAATTATTTAATTACATACATAACAAGTACCTCTTAAAGCCCAACGTAATTCTCTAATAAAATTATTATAAATAAATATAGAGATTCCAACACAATCAAATACTCTATAGTTGTCTATAGTTGGAATGTCAGCATTTCGATAGAATCGATAATATTTTTGCGTTATCAAGAAATTAGATTAATTATCATATATTTTCACAGATTGTTGTTTTTGCTTCTTACCAACTCTTTGAAATCTTTGACTAAAAGTTTTTACAAGTTTTAGCTATTTAGAGATACCTTTGGCTTAATTCAAAAGTATCAAACTCCAAGGCAAGATAAAAAGAGCAATATTAAAAAAATATTTTGAAAAGAAATTATTGAAAGGATACTTGGAAATATTTTTAAAAAATTTTGTTTTGTTGAAATTAAGAAAAAGCGTATTAAATGTTAACGCGAATATCGAAAAAATGAGAAAATAAAAAAAGGAATCCATAAATCAAATCACGTGCATACAAAGCAAATCACGTGTCCGAGGATTTTTGATGGTGATCCTAGTGGTTATTGATAATGTACATTTTTTCGAAAGTAAAAACGATCAATGAAAAAATATTTGATAGTAATTGAATATCTAATTATTTGAATATAAATTAGCATGTCAATTGGCTTATGTTTACGCGTTAAAGGAATTGTACAGTACATCGTGATTTGATAATATTATATAATTTATATTGATAAGTGCTTATTTCATTTTATTTAACCTTAATTTCATAAATTATAGTACTCAACCTTTATTTCATCAAAATACTATTTATCGAAAAGAATTGAGAAAGTATCATCTTAACAGCAAACAAAATTTTTTGGTGTCGTTCCTTATATTGATCCAAAAGGTTAAAAATAGAAATTATAAACTAAATAAATAGTGTTAATATTGTATTGTGGAAGATATCAAGAGTTCATCCTCCTTTTTATACTGGATTTCGCGTTCTTTTTGCTTTTAATGTTTTTAATGTTTTTCTTCCCTTATTACAAAAATTGAAGTTTTATCACAATGCCTTGTAGAAGAAACCCTTACTAAAAAAAAAAGATTTGTATTTTAAGCAAAAATTAAATTTTAAAAGATTATATTCAGACAGGAACAAGAAGCAAATGAAGTTTTATATTAATTTAATGAAGAGATGCATTGACTTTGTTGAATGAATTTACAAAAAAATAATTAATTCAATAAATATTTTTTTAAAAAAAAGAGAGAATCCGAGTTGAATATACAAATATACAATCCTATTATGTACAGTCGCGTCGGAATGTGACGCCTGAATTAAATTTCATAGTAAATTATATATAAAATTTTTTACAATTAAAATGGTTCTTGCAAATAAGTTCCCCAAAGTTAAATATTAATTTTTTTTAAAAATTATGACTATTTAGCTATAAAAAATTATGCAAAATTTAGAAACAATTATTAAATGAAATATAAATATATATACAGCTCGAAATTGTCCAATTTTAGATTTATGAATTTTATTGGATCTAAACATATAGAAAAATCTTTTTCACATTGCAATAAAAATAGTTTATGCAATAAAACTTTCCACAAGAAATCCTTTATTAAAAATTACTGGCTTTAAAATTATATAAAATTTAGAATTTATTATTAAAGTAAATATTAAAGTGAATATATGTTTTATAAAATTTGTAACGGAAATGAATTTCGACGTGATTGTACATGTTCTTAAACTAGTAAATGATTAAACGTGTTTTTATTTCTATAATTTCTTTAATATAAATCTTCCTATTTAAATCAATGCTCATTATGGTATAAGAAATTCCACCAGTGTATATATAATACCAATGGAATAAAAGATAAACCCTTTTAAAAAGATATTGAAACTTAAATATACTCCATTGCTATTATATTCAAATAACTAGCTTACCAATTTACAAAGCACTTAACAATGGTGTGTTTCAATACTCCGATAACTAGTTAATCAGCTTCTTAACAGAATTTCCTTAACGTTTACATTTATTAAACCATAACCTTTAAATTAAATATTTATATAAATAACAATATTAATTATTTAAATTTTATTAGTTTTAGTCTTAATGCAGAAATAAATGAAATGCAATTTGCAAATTGAAAAGTTTATATTGGATGGCATAATCCATTCTTATTTTTTATTATTTTGTTTGTTTGAACGAACTTGTGCATTATGAAGATAAAATATCTTTTAACTTTATAATTTTTCTGACTTCATATTAAATACTCACCATTAACTATATGTAACATTTACTGCTTTGTAAATACTATATTTTAAAAAAATCATTTACCTTGTTGTCATGATTTATAAAACAAGTCGATGTTTATTTAACTAGATAATAGAATTCCTAAAATAAAAATTTTTTTGTAAAGAATTCATCATTGCGCAGTTATCAATATAAAATCTTTACAAACTGGTCTTTAATAAGCATAGCCTATATGACTGATGTAATTTTGTCATCTTCAAGTGAATTATATTCTCTAACAATTTGCTAGTTATAGAATATATCTTCTTGTCTCATCATTAATAAATATTTTAAGTAATTTCGCTGATAATTACAAGGATAATATTTGAGTCAAATTTTTTTTCATTAGTTACCAAAAAGCATCAAAGCATCGTTTCTTTTTCACTTTTTAAGTATTTTTTACAAGTTATATTAATGGAATAAAATTTGTACTAATAAGCCTAAGTCCATTCAATAAATTTATTCTATTTAAGTTTGAGAAATTTTCAAACATCTTGACAAATTATGTTTATACCATTATATTATTTTTATTAAAAGATATTTCCAATAGAATTATTTTTTGTCTCTCAATTTAACCTTAGCAACTGATAAATTTAGAGTATTTAATACGTTGATAAATAGAAATGGTCAGCGATTGGTCAAAGAGGATCCCGGAAAATACATATAGAGGTAACATCCAGTTAAAATTTTTTACTATTAATTCTAAGCACAAAATTTTCTATGATCGCTAAGCAAATAAAAGCTATAACCTTAAAATCTTACAAAAATAAGCATATTAAACCTTTATTGTATATTTATTTTCAAAATATTTATAATATCAAAACGAAAAAATTCAAGCATATTTTTAATCTTATATAATCTTTTCAATTATATCTTTTCTTCCAAAATATTCAAAATATTTTTTTCATTGCCCACCAATTTTAAAATATTCCCTTCAATTGAAACGTCATGTGGTAAAATGTGATAAAAAATGTTAGATGCTAAATGGTACGTTAAAATATTACAACTCTTGAGTTATATCACTAAAAAGATCAAAGTGAATAGGAATATAAACATGTAATGAAATATATGAAACATCATCGTAAAACAATAATTTGAATAGGCTTCAAAATAAATAGCTAAAATCCGACCAATGCACATTTGATCTCCATATTTAGCAAATACAAAATTACTTTTAATTAGTAATAAATCTTTCGAAATATTAGCATTTTCAATATTTGGAACTAATGTTTATAAAATAATAAAATAAAATTATTCAAAAGTTCGCAAAACAAGAAAATTACAAATAATTAAATAACTTACTTTCAATAAAAGGTTTTATTATTTTTTTTTTAGCTGATTTTTGTTTATTTTTTAAATTTTCTAACTCTTTAAAATGCCATTGAGTAAGAGTTAATGAAGCATTCTTTCGATTTTCTTTCCATCGTTTTTCTCTCTGAGTTACAAACCGTTGTTCTGGATTCTTGTTTTTTGAAAAAAAGGAATCAAAATGGCTTGCTTTATTTGGTAAAATTGAACTTGTTATATTTGAATTTGAACTTGATGTCTTTATTTTTCGTTCTAATAGCTTTGAGCAATATGCATCATATTGAATTCTTTTGCGTAATTAAACTCTCAAAATTAAGAGTATCGTCCAAAATGAATTGATAATCATTATTAACTACAAACAAAAGTTAAAATGTTTAGCAAAAATAATATAGTAATAATAGAATTAGTAAAAGATGCAAAAACTTACTACTATCTCTGCTATTAATAATTAACAAGTGATTCATTCAAGTTGAGATCGTCCTTCATTAAAAAATTGATTATGTATTTCTATAGATATGCTTTCCATTATCACAGATGCTTTATCTAATGCAATTGAAATATCTGACTTATCATTCTCAGATCCTTCATCTTCAGTTTCAATAGTTGTTAACACATAATCATATTTATCAAGAATTATTCTAGGTTCATTAATTTCAACTGGTAATTCAACTGGCTGAAAAATTTGCAGAAACTCTGCCAATTCACTAGCAAGATTATAAGAATGATGCATAGTTTGTAAAATTTGATTATCAGTAGGCCATAAACGAAGCATTTCTAAAGAATCGTCATCAATAAACCAGTATTATAATCAAAATGGTAACCTGAGTAAATAATAAAATGTATAATTAAATAAATAGTTTAAAATCGTAAAATAATTTTTTAGAAAATTACCTTCTCTTACTGATTTCTCTTTTCAAAAAGATAACTTTTTGCTTCTTAAAGCTTTCGTAAATTGTGAAATTTAGGAACCATTTGAATTAATTCTGCAAAGTCAAAATCTGAATTAATTTGACGAGCAATACCAAAAAAATGTTCAACTGATTCAAAATCATGTAGCCAAGGTAATAGTGGGATTAAAGGATAAAACTCTCTATATACTTTAACTAAAAGAACCATTGATTCACATAAAGAGTTAAGAATTGCAAAAGTTTAGCTGGCTAGAAAATTTTGACGAATATTAACGAAGTCTGGATATTTTTTTGATAATTATTATTAAATGAAATCTGGTGTTAAGAAATCATATACTTAAAATGTATATATTGTTTAAAAAAGCCATTGTCTCTTTAAGAGAAAGAAATATCCTGAATATTCTTTACTTTCTACGAATTTAGTGATAAATAGTTAACGGTAATTTTATTGATTTCGTTAACCGGGATTAAAATTTTCTCCACAATTTGAAAAAAAATTAAAATTTTTAAATCATATCATCATCTCATCATATTTAAAAGAAAACTTCCAGAATGACAATTTTTTAAAATTTATCAATAGATAATTTCAGCCGGAGATTACAGCATTCCATGTGCAAGCTAATATAGTAGTACTAAAATTTATAAATGGCGAGCAAAACATTGCGTAACCAAAGTATCATATAAATAACTCATTGTGTTCTTTACTTTTTAAACTTATAGCAATGTCCGAAAATAAAGGTAATTATAATTTATTTGAAATAAGAACGAGAATATTAAAAGGTCAATTTGCAAATTTTAGAATCAGTTTTGGATTCTGGGAAAACTTCCACATTAGATAAGTTAAATGGTAATAATAATTTAGTACATGCGTCGAAAGATTTTTTGAATAATTTATAAACAAAACTAAATTCTTTTTAAAAATATACAATAAACTTAGTTACTACAGCGAGTAAGTTAATTTGTTTGTTGATTTACTTTTATTGAATTTAAGCAACTAATTTTTTATTTGAAAACATTTTATACTCTTCCTTATAATTTAAATTTAAATCAATTTTTTTATTTAAATAAAATATTTAATATTAGAACGTAATTTTATTTTAATAAGTCCCTGAGTATAAAGTTTTTGAAATTTGTGCCAAGGGTGAACTGAAAAAACAAATTAAGGATTATGATAGACAACTAGAATATGAGAAAGTTGAAAAGGATGAGTGACAAGTTTCTTGATAAATGTTGTTATCATAAGCCTTGGTATTTCTTTTGGAATGATTCAGTTTCAGTTTGAGCCCAAATACAATATTCAATGGCTCGCTCAAAAGTTGGTATTGGTACTTATTTATATCTCAAAGTTCTAAATGTTTGCTTATAATATATTTCCTGTGCGCCAGTAGTTTCTACAGAAACTGCAGTTTGAAAGACTTCTAAACTTTTGCTAGTATATAATAGTGCTCTTAAGACTTTTTGTGCCCAATCAAAGAAATTGAGGAAAGATGGAGGGATCTCCTTAGGGGGTGGATTACAAGCAATGCAAGATGGATCGTCGGTTAAAGTATCACTAGTAGTTTTCCTAAAGTTACGCTCTGATTTATTATGTATAGCTAAATAGTTTCGTTGATACTTAATAAATTCTCTAAAGTTGTTCATGGAGTATTTTGCATGGGTTATTACTGTGCCAATTAGGAAAAGATAGTCCTGTCATCATCGCCAAATATTAACGTGTAATCCTTGTGAATTACAACTGTTAGACGGGGTGTTTGAGTGGTTTATTCTTTTTAATTAAGCAGTAACCTTTCAATGATTTGCAAGCTTTTAACCTAGTCAGCTTATCAAAAGTATTTATAATATTACGTCAAGTAATTCAACAGATTGCCAATGATTTGTAAGTGTAAAATAATGTGTTTATTCACGAGTAAAATAATAGAAGTAAAAGAAAAAAGATAAAAGAAAATAAGAAATAAAATAAGAAAATAAAAGAAAAGAATTACTGAAACTAAAATATAACGCGATAGGCCAGTTACCTCTAAAACTACTAAAACTAACTTGTCGAGTTCCTATCTGTCTTTCTTTTTACATGAACTAAAAAGCTACCTATTTATATAAAATAAATTACATAAATGAATATAACTAACATGTCTAATATGTCAACTATGTCTAACATATTAACTATGTCTAATATTTCAACTATATCTAATATGTCAGTTATACCACATATGTCTGACATATCATATATATCACTTATATCAAATCGGTTGATCTTCTGCGTCACATAAACTGCGTCACATTTACCCGTACATATTACTCCTTGCTTAAGATTTCTGCTCCTGCAGAAATATCGAGAGTTTCCAGTACAAAAGCTTGATATTCACTGAACTTCAATCGTCGAATCATAGTTAAGGTTAGACGTTGAGTATCAAAGATTCGTTGGACTCCTATGTTTTTAAAGAGATAATAAACTCGAATAGCAGTTCGGTAATAATGTTTAGTTATCGTGCCATTTGTACTATTCGTTAGACCGGTGAAATAGTCACATCGTCAATAAGTTGACCTAAATAAAAGGCATTAATAAGAGATAAAATACGGTTTCTCATATGGGTAGAACGAAGGAGAGTTTGGTAAGCAGACTGCACTTTTTGAGTTAAGGATGCATCAGTCTGATATGGAGGTTCCATTGATCGAATTTCTTCAAGAACGGTTGTAGAAATCTGAAGTTCTTTTAAAACTATTTCAAAATTTGTAAATTCTATTATAGTTTTATTCGTTTGAATAAAATAACGGTGACAAAGGTTCTTTTTATAATGTCTTAGTGCTGATCATTATTCAATAATAATCTGAGGTTCCCATTCAGTTCGTTCTAGATATGGTTTCAAAAGATCAGCATGTATAGGATTTTTTCTAACTCATCCATCTATTGTACAAAGTTTATAAATGCCAGGTCTTACAATGTCGTGAATGTAGAAAGGTCCATTGAATTTGTCCTTAAATTTGTCTCTGTGAATGTGTGATTGTGTAATATTAAATAATAAAACTTTATCTCCAATTTGATAAGAAATTCCAGGTCGATTCTTATTGTAACGTTCTTGTTGCTTTTGTTGTCATTGCATAATATTTTATTGTACATCTAATTGTCGTTGTTGCAATTGCGATAAGATTATCTGTTGATGCTGTTCTATGGCATTCGATAGGTTTGTGATAGGTGAAGGTCATCGTAATTGTAAATCTATAGGTAAAACTGCTTTTCATCCATATAATAACTCAAACGGTTCAAATTTAGTTATTCCTTGCTGAGTAGTTTGGTATGCGAATAATGTAGATGTCAAATAAGTATCCTATTCTCCATGATATTGCTTAACGTACTTGGCTAAAATCGTATATAAGGTCTGATTAAAGCGTTCAGTAAGGCCATTGGTCTGTGGGTGATATGGTGAAGACAATCTATGTTTAGTTCCTACTACATGTAACAAAGCAGTAACTAATTTATTTTGGAACGACGTTGCTCGATCAGTTAATATTTCTTTTAGCATTCCATGTTAACATGATTTCATTGTAAATAAACTGTGCAGTAGTTTGGGCAGTGCAATCTGGTGTAGCATTAGCTTCAAACCATTTTGTCAGATATTCAGTTGCGACAATAATATACCTATTCCTTTTATTGTACGTGGAAGTGGTCCCACGTAATCTATTCTAATGTAGTCGAATGGTTGTCCAACAGGTATAGGATGCAATGGTTTTTTGGGTTTTGGCCCTCCTTGTCGCTGGCATACATCACATGTTCGTATTCAATTATCAATCGTTTTATACATACTAGGCCAGTAATATTGAGAGGCAATTTTGTTGTAGGTAATGTCTCGTGCTAAATGTCATCCTAAAGGTTCATTGTGAATATTATGTAGAATACTTTCAACTTCGTTAGTTTTGATTACAAGTAGTGGTTGAGTTG